GCAATTCCCATACTGTGTTCTGTGGAACTGTGTTCTAAGGTTCCTTGAAAATATCATAGGGGTTCTATGAAAAATCTTTAAAATTGTTTAATTTTGTTTTTTTAAAAAAAGAAATAAAAGATCATGCCAGAGCATGAAATGCCCAGGCAATAGTAAATGAAAGAAGTAAGAGCTTTGTGGGTTCACAGTGTTCATGGACAGAGTTAGCTTTCCACAGGAAAATCAAGGACAGAGTTAGGTTCCGTAGGGGGGAAAGAATTCTGAAGGATTCCATGTCCAAAAACATTTGGGAACTGTTAAGCTTAGAGACATGACACCTTAACTGAGGAGCACCCCTTCCAGAAGCACCTACTTGGTTTTTTTGGACAAAGTCATCCCTCCTCAAACTATCCATGAGAGAAGCTGTGATGAAATTGAGTGGGTGGGTGTTTGTGTGTTTGGCATGCTAGAATCCCTAAACTGAAATATTAGTTTAAGAAGGGGAACCAAAGAGAATTATATGAAGCTTGTAATTTGAGAAATGCTACATGACTTTTACTATCAAAGAAAGAAACAACAGGAAAGAATAGGGTTAGTTCCTGTACTACAAAAATGAAAAGCTGTTTTTTTTAAACCAAAAATCTAACCAGGGGCCCCATCCCGCAGACCACAAATTTTGAATGCGTCCACCTGAGGGTGGGTGACCGGGACAGAATAGGGATTCTGTTAGTGTACCGTCCACCTCGCTGCACTACAGTCTCCCTACCTGAGCTAGCGGGGGTGGTCTCGAGCCTGGCGGTGGAGTCCCAACGGCTTCTTGTGCTGGGGGACTTCAACATCCACGCCGAGGCAACCCTCACAGGTGCGGCTCAGGACTTCATGTCCGCCATGGCAACCATGGGGCTGTCCCAACGAATAACTGGCCCCACCCACTGTGCTGGACACACATTGGACTTGGTTTTCTGCCAGGGATGGGAGCAGGGTGGCGGTGTGGAGGAGTCTATCTCTCCGTTGCCATGGACCGACCACTTCCTGATCAGATTTAGGCTCACTGCGCCCCCTAACCTCCGCAGGGGTGGAGGACCCATTAAGATGGTCCGCCCCAGGAGGCTAATGGATCCGAATGGATTCCTGACGGCTCTTGGGGAGTTTCCCGCCACCTTCGGTAGGTGATCATGTCGAGGCCTTGGTCGCTCTCTGGAATGGGGAGATGACTAGGGCAATTGACATGATCGCTCCGGAACGTCCCCTCTCAAGTAACCGAGCTAAACCAGCCCTTGGTTTACTGAGGAGCTGGCAGTGATGAAGCGAAGGAAGAGGGAACTAGAGAGCGTGTCGCGTTCGGACCCAAGCGAGTCAAATCGAGCACGGTTTGTGTCCTTTTTAAGGGCATATGCGGCGGCAATAAAAGCCGCAAAGAAAACTTTCTTTGCGGCCACTATTGCGTCTGCAAAAAACCGTCCGGCGGAGTTGTTTCGGATTGTCAGAGGTCTTTTAACTCCCCCTACCTCAGGTGGGAGCCCTGACAACTCGGCAACGCGCTGTGAAGCATTTGCTCGGTTCTTCGCAGACAAAGTCGCTTTGATCCGCTCTGGGCTGGACGCCACATTAAATGCAGTCTCTGTGGATGTGACACAAGCACCTGCTTGTCCTATTTTGTTGGATTCTTTTCAGTTTGTGAAGCCCGAGGATGTGGACAAGATACTTGGAGGAATGAGGCCCACCACGTCCATCCTAGACCCCTGCCCATCCTGGCTTCTGAAGGAGGCCAGAGGGGGATTGGCCGAGTGGGTAACGGTGGTGGTTAATGCCTCCCTTCGGGAAGGCAAGATTCCAGCGAGCCTAAAACAGGCTATTATAAAGCCGCTGTTGAAGAAACCATCACTGGACCCCACTAAATTTGACAACTTTCGGCCTGTTTCCAATCTCCCTTTTTGGGCAAAGTCATGGAAAGCGTGGTGGCCTCACAACTCCAGGTATTCTTGAGAGACACGGATATTCTGGATCCGGCACAGTCTGGTTTCAGACCGGGACATGGTACCTGAGACGGTCTTGGTCGCCTTAGGGGATGATCTGCGCCGGGAGCTAGACAGGGGGAGTGTGTCCCTGTTGGTGCTCCTGGACCTCTCAGCGGCCTTCGATACCGTCGACCACGGTATCTTCTGGGGCGCCTTGCAGAGATGGGTCTCGGGGGCACTGCGCTGCAGTGGCTCCGATCATTTCTGGAGGGTCGTACCCAGAAGGTGTTATGGGGGGACTCCTGCTCAGCGCCACGGCCGTTGACCTGTGGCGTTCCTCAGGGTTCCATCTTGTCCCCCCTGCTGTTTAACATCTACATGAAGCCGCTGGGTGAGATCATCCGGAGTTTCGGGGTGCGGTGTCACCTGTACGCAGATGACGTCCAACTCTGTCACTCCTTTCCACCTGCTACTAAGGAGGCTGTCGAAGTCCTGAACCGGTGCCTGGCCGCTGTAATGGTCTGGATGAGGGCGAACAAACTGAAATTAAATCCAGACAAGACAGAGGTACTCCTGGTCAGTCGCAAGGCCGAACAGGGTATAGGGTTACAGCCTGTGCTGGACGGGGTCGCACTCCCCTTGAAGGCGCAGGTTCGCAGCTTGGGTGTGACCCTGGACTCATCGCTGAGCCTGGAGCCCCAGGTTTCAGCGGTGACCAGGGGAGCATTTGCACAGCTTAGGCTCGTGCGCCAGCTGCGACCGTATCTTGGGAAGCCGGACTTGGCCACGGTGGTACATGCTTTGGTCACATCCCGCCTCGACTACTGCAACGCTCTCTACGTGGGGCTGCCCTTGAAGACGGCCCGGAAGCTTCAGCTAGTCCAACGCGCGGCAGCCATGTTATTAACAGGAGCAGGACGCAGAGAGCGTACAACGCCCCTGCTGTCCCAGCTCCACTGGCTGCCGATCTGCTACCGGGCCCAATTTAAGGTGCTGGTGTTAGCCTACAAAGCCCTAAACGGTTCCGGCCCAAAATACCTTGCAGACCGCATCTCGGCCTACGAGCCCACGAGGGCCTTGAGATCATCCGGGGAGGCTCTTCTCTCGGTCCCGCCTGCCTCGCAGGCACGTCTGGCGGGGACGAGAGAGAGGGCCTTCTCGGTGGTGGCCCCCCGGTTGTGGAACCACCCTCCCTACTGAAGTTAGACAGGCGCCCTCTTTGATGGCCTTTCGTAGGAGCCTGAAAACTTGGCTCTGCGAGCAGGCCTTCAATTAAGTGTATCTGTGGAACGACGTTAGAATGGACTATGACTACGAACTTGGCTATGACCCCAGGATTAGACGAAGCGGATTTTTAGTATAAGTATATGTCGTAGTAGTAGTTGTTATGTATTGTTATGATTTTGTATGCTGTCCTTCTATGTTGCTGTTCACCGCCACGAGTCGCCCCTAGGGCTGAGAGTGGCGGTCAATAAGTACAAGAAATAAATAAATAAATAAATAAATAAAAATTAGCTATGCACATGTGAAGTGAATCAAATAGGTCAGGTAAATCTTGCAGAAGTAAACATAAACATATGCTAACTCCTTTGGTAAGAAGTAAACAAAATTGGAATCTTTGCCCTTGAATCTACAAATGAAGCACAAAAGTGATTTTTCAAATTTTGTAAAGTTTTTTTTATTGCAAACACATTCTTCTGGTAATGCTATCTATATCTGCTTGCTTGAATTATACAATTGTTCACAGGTTGGTTAGCTAACAAAGGGCACAGAACTCTCATCTGTTTCAAGGAGATAAAGTTTTAAGATCAAGAGAAAGAGAGAGGCAGTAGAAACAACAAAATAAAGAACAATGACGAAGAGATGAAATAATGACATGCTCCTTTTAAGTATGCAATAGGTTGTAATGCCCATGGAACCTTTTTAAAGATGTCATATACCTCAGTTCAGTCATCAAATTAAAAGGAAACAACATTCAAAAATCAAAAAAGGACTAAAATTTGAAAAGGCTGTTATGAAGGAGCTAAATAAGATGTTCAAGTGGACAGAAAACCAAATCAGGATGTTCAACCTCTGATATTTTACATTTGGGAGCAACAACTGGGGAAGAAAGAAAAGTGACAGAAAGAAAATTAGCCTATTTGAAATGTAATACTGGAAGAGAGTTCTACAGATAATCATAAACAAACAAAAAAGAACAAGTGAGTGTGCGAAGAAATTAGCCCTGAACTGTCACCAGAACTTAAAATTACTGAGTTGGGGCTACAGCATGTGTGACATACTATTAAATGCAATTATCTGAAAAGATGATAACATTCAGTAAAGCTGAAGGTGGTAGAAGGAAAGAACAAACACACAAAAGTTTATGTGACTTAATCAAGGAAGCCATGTATTTGGAAGGCTAAAGAAAGGCTAATTACAAGATCTCTTAGAGGTCTCTCATAAGTCAAAGTCAAATTGACAGCATATTAGCAGAAAGGAAAAAAGGAGAAAAAAAGCATTGCCAGTGGGAGAAAATATTGTTACTTTTTCATGCCGTCTTTCACACTGTGTTTACATTATAGTGTCTTCTCTATATTGTCTATAATCATTATCACAATAAGCTGAACACCCTGAAGACTGTACCATTACTGTGGACTTTGCCACTCTGAAATGCATTTATTTATTTATTTATTTATTTTTGTTGTTCTGAACCATTTCTAATTTCATATACTCTTATGATGTCAACTTCTGTATGGTGTTTTATCTTCTTGCCCTCTCTCAAGCCTTTTTGTTTCACTTACTGTCAGGTATCCAATTCACCACGATTTAATTAGGAAGGTGGGGGTAGCAAAAACCCAGCTCAATTATGTTTTTCCTTGCTTTGGCGCAAAATGTACTTCATTTTCATGCTATGCTCATTATTCATTTATTTCATTTATATGCTGCCTTTCCCCCAAAGTTGGACTCAAGGCAGCTCTCAAAAGAATGTTATGCACATTGTGAGAACAAAATATAACATTTAGATAAAAATATGCAATCATTGCAACACCGAAAATGTTATGATATGATTACCAAACTCACCTTGCAGCGGGAAGACCCCTTTTGTTGAGGTCAGCTCTTACTTTTTCTCCTACGTGTCTATAAATCTCCACAATTGCCAATATTGCAGCATCTCTCACCTATGAGATTACAGAGTAGTATTAAAACTGGGAAAGAATATGTAACAGCAAGACACAAATAATATTGATCTTTTGGTTTAGTTGTTTTGTTAACAATTCACATGTCTAACTTTTAACATTTGTTAAGTACAAGGAAAATAAAATTTCAAAACTGGGCTTTAAGGAGTCAACTGCGTCATCGCTACATCATATTCAACAACCAGAAAGTCTGAGAAACTTAAATGACTAAATTGCTACATTCCTGTCTACCACAGCAACATCATGAATGTCAACCCTCTTTAATACAGGATGGGGCATAAAAATCTCCCACAGTTTGAAGGAGTATAAAAATGAACAAAGATACCTAGAAAAAAATTGTACATATTACTGAAAAATACATAAACATTAAAATCCTATGGGACAAATTATTTTGTAAGTATGCAATTGCAAACTGGCATGCAGAATCCTCTTTGATATCCCCAGTACCATGGCATGTGCTTTGAATGTGATTTTCCTGCTTCTTGGCAGGGGGTTCGACTGGATGGCCCATGAGGTCTCTTCCAATTCTATGATTCTATATTTATGAGCAGAAGGCCTTGGCAATGGCTGAGTGGATGGCACTCCTATTGTTTCCACATTTTCTAGTATTCTAACAGGGATTTCTTTTCATCATGGATCCAGTTGCCCAAAGATTAGAAATCCATAGTAAAATCATTTTTCAATTTGGTACAAAGTGTGTACAGAAGACTTTTGTGCCATTATCACAGAACAGTTTTCATAATACATTTGAACAACAAAGCCCCGAAATTCACTGATCTAACACATGATGGTTACTGAAAATAACAGAAGTACCCTACCAAATTAGACATATCCCACCTCTCTACCCCCACTACAGACCACACAGTGCCCCCTCAAAATATGGAAATTCTTTACAGTTCATCCTATATTGGGCTATATGTGCTCACAATGATTAAACTGCCTTGCTTCCATTATAAAGAGAAGAAAGCTGCTAGTCTTTTCAAATGCTCACTGTGAGAAAATAAGACCAGTACAGCTCGATAAGGCCCATACAAGTCAGTGAGCACTGCAGGAGGGATGGAAGCTGCACGAATTGCCAGAAAATGTACTAGTTAACATACAAACTTCTCCAACAGCTTCGCTGTAATGGAATGCTGCCACGATTACTCTGCATGGAAGAGGGAGATTGATGGGGTGTGGAGGCAGGTATGTCAAGAAGAACCTACAAAATTATGGATTTTGATATGACTCATAAGTAAGTTGTGGGTCATTCAATGCAGAGGAGAAAGCACTAGTATTGCCTCAGGAGGCTGCCACTGCCATTTCCTCACCCAGGCACTCATAAAGGTCAGAAGCAGTGCCACAGCAGAGAGAATGTAGAAGGGGATGATGCTTCTTATAGGTTCTCCCTGGATGGATTAAGTTCTTGCCTTTCACCAAAGAAAAATGATGTTTCCTTTTATGATAGTAAACATACAGTGCTCACATTGATCCATGGATAATTTCTGACTAAAATGTCTAGACTTATACACGAGCATATAGGCCACACTTCATTTATACAGTATACATAATATTTTATTTCCAGAATCCTAATATGATACAATTTTATGAATATTTATGTTGGACCAAAATCCTAATTCAAATTCTATACCTATTAAATGCATAGTTCTATACCTATTAAAGAGTGGCCTGAAAATTATCTTGATTTCTCAATGTGACAAAAATATTGTCAAAACATTTAGTGTGGAAGTAGTACAGTTTATGTTAGTCATATCATATTGCGGGGGTGGGTGTGAGAGTGTATTAACTTTATTTCAAAATAAGAATCACACAAAAGTGGCAAAGGATCCGTTCTGCTTTTCTCACTGCCATTTTGTTTAGAATAGCAAACAAAATTAGCACTACTTTCTTTCAGCTAAGAATGGCATGACATTATTGTGTACATAATTTTTACTTTTAAAAAACCTGCCCAGTGCCACTAACAGTGATTCAGTATCTTTTGTCTAACTTCTTATTTTCTGCACTTCCTGAATTGACTCTTGGGTGAAATTATGAAAACTAAATTCCAATATTCCACCCTTGGTTAAAATTAAGAATATATTTATTTGTACATTTCCTGGTTTTGGAAGGACTTAAGCGGATTCCAATATTTATTTATTTTCCACTTTTCTCCTGATATAGGGATTCAAAGCCATCATAGGGACTCAAAATCCAGGAGGAAAGCATAAAGAATTTTTGGCACAGTAAACATATCATATGAACTCAAACAACAAGATTTCCCGTGAATAGTTCTATGAAAAAGTTTTTTTTTCCTATTCTACATGACAAAGAGTAGAAAGGTGTTGGTTTAAGCATATGGAAATCCACACTATTCCAAATCTTCTAAGAATCTCCTACCAACAGGAAATGACACTATGTTCCTTTCCTATAATTCTCCCGTTGTTGACAAATTTGCTTAGGGAACAGACAATGCAATAACACATATATATATGTATATATATAGAGAGAGAGAGGGAGAGAGAGAGAGCGCTTGTTTGTTTGTTTGTTAATTGTAAACCTACCTGGCTATTGGAGTCTCCAAACAATATGCATAAGTGTGGTACCAGTTTGTTGAGAGTTAATGACTGTGCACCATAGCTAAAAGAAAATTAAAAGGAAGTATCAATTTCTGACTTAATAATAAAATAATAAACTTTATTTGTATCCCATTATCATCTGCCTAAAGGGACTCAGGGCAGCTCATAGAAAGCACTCAATAGGGCAACAAAATACAAAAAGGTAAAATAAGTAACAATAAAATTGACCCAATTATACATAAAACAGCAACAAAACTCCTAACAATGGAAAAGATACTAAAACACGCCCAGCAAGCTATAAAAATAGAAGCCATGCATAATATCAGTTCTCATAAAGTGCAGAAGTGATTACTCACTAAATCTTTGAATATAGTAATCACAATCCCTAAACATGGTCAAAGGCTTGCTTAAAAAGCCATGTTTTCAGATGTTTCCAAAAAAACTTGCAGAGTAGGGGCTACCCTGATCTCTTTAGGGAGGGCATTCCAAAGCCAAAGCATTCCAAAAATAGAAGCCATGCATAATATCAGTTCTCATAAAGTGCAGAAGTGATGACTCACTAAATCCTTGAATATAGTAATCACAATCCCTAAACATGGTCAAAGGCTTGCTTAAAAAGCCATGTTTCCAAAAAAAACTTGCAGAGTGGGGGCTACCCTGATCTCTTTAGGGAGGGCATTCCAAAGCCGGGGAGCCACCACCAAGAAGGCCCTTTCTTTCATCTCCACCAACCACAATTGAGACAGAGGTGGGATCATGAAGAGCGTCTCCCCGACAAACGTGAGGGCCCACGCCAGTTCATAGGAGATCCAATCTCGAAGATAGGCTGGACCTGAAGAGCATAGCACTTTATAGGTAATAACCTGCACTTTGAATTGAGCCTGGAAACTTGTTTGTAGCCAGTGGAGCTGCTTTAATAGGGGTGTGGTGTGCTCCCTATAGCTAGCCTCAGTTAGGAATCTTGTTGCAGACTTTTTGCACTAATGGCAGTTTCCAAGCTGTCTTTAAGGGTAGCCCCACGTAGAGTGCATTACAGTAATCCATTCTAGATGTAGCTAAGGTATGGACCACCATTGCTAAGTCTTACAACAGTAAGCATCATAGTATACAGAGCTCTAACACAATCTTTTCTTATACATAAGAATTTAATTTTAATGGGAATTACTATTTTGAGAGTTGGATTTTGGGGTACTGATTCCTAAGAACATCAACAAGGAAAGAACATTTATTATTAGGATTTCTAAAAGAATACTTACACATTTAATGTTGCAACAAGACACAGACACACTCCTTCACGTGAACGATAGTTTTTGTGTTTAAAGCCAGCACTAAGACGGTCCCAAACGAACTATTGAAAAGAAAAGATAGGTTATATTACAGAATTGAAATGCTTCATCCCATTAATACTCAATGGCTAATGATAGATATTAAGTTAATATCACATTTAAATAACCATTACAATGAAAAATTACACAAATGCTTCATGGCAAAAAGTTTTAATCAGGCTAATTTGCAGTTGCTCCCAATCATAACTACCATCATACAATACCACCCACATCAAGAAATAGTGACTGATCTAGTATTACAGTTTTCAATAACTAGATAACAAAAACTGCATCTGAAGTTTCGATTTGTTTTCCTCACTGTAAGCTTTGTCTACTGAAAAATATCTTTCCACTGTCTTTAATGCATTCCTCATTCAGACATGAATATATTTTAAGTACTTATTCTGATTCTATTTGCCCTCCATTTCCAGTGTTTTTGTCCTTCATCAAGCTTTTGTAATGCTCTCTAGATCTTTCTTTTCTTATGATTAACTTGCACTACACTCGTTTACTCCCAAGCGCATTCATCTTTGCATGTTTCATCACACACCCCCTTCCATCTCTTTTTTGCTTTTATCTTTATAATTCTTCCCCCCACCCCCACCCCAAAATCTTTGCAGTAACTGCCAAGACTACACACTTGAGGCTTACAGGACTAGATCTGAAACAGTATTTCAAAGCAAGCAGATTCCAACTGCAACTCCCTTTAGCTGCAATGCTGCCATGATAATCTCAGCGGTTCAGCAGGCATTCAGGAGAAAAAGGTTGCCTAGCAACTGCTGCACAGTGAGCAATAGCACAATTTCCCAGACTGCAGCATTTTATGATTTAGACCGTCCCAGTATTCAAGTCATGCTGTAGCATGACCAAAACAGACAATGCCGCATGTGCAAGATGCCATTAAATCTCATTTGCTTATTTTTAAGCTACTTAGAAAAAAGCATCAGTTATCGCAACTAGAAAGGCTCACATAAACATTCTGCAAATTATTTGAATAATGAAATATTCCACTGTAGAATCACAATTCAAAAGTAGAACCATTTCACCTTCTGCAATGATTAATTAAATAATCATCTTAATTTTACTATGGCTTTCAAACTATTGTCAATATAGGAAATCAGTATTTTAAAAAATCATCCTGACACATTCATTAGACATTAAATGTTTAGTTCTGAACATTTCAAAATTTTTGCAGCGCAAGCTGAACTAGAATTTGTGGAAGCAAATACTTGGCAGCAATATTTTAGAATGCTGGTTGCTATCCCTTATCCAAAATACTTGGGACTAGATGTATTTTCGGGTTTTTTCAGATTATGAAATATCTGTATTTGCATATATGTGCATAATTATATATCTTGGAGGTGGGACTCAAGTTTAAACACAAAATTTATTTCTGTTTCATATACATTATACTGTTGGAAATGACAGCCTTCTTCAAGCCTTCTCTAGTAATATCTATCTATGATCCTATTGCTTACTGTTTGTACGTATGTTCTGGTATGCAGCTTCCTTTACTCTATGGTTCCTGAGAAGTTATAAAAGGGGCTGCAGACCACAGGATGATCACTATAGCAGACAACAGACAGACAGACTACTTCAGACTTCAGATCACATGCTTGCTGTTTTGTTGTAAGAGAAGTTCTGGCCAGATGGCACAGAGAATTATCTCAAACATATCTGAAACTGGACTGATAAGTTTTGTACCTGTGTATGCTGAACACATGAAGGTTGTGAAAAAACCAAATATGTTATTTTTTAATCATCGTCTACTTCATTTTTGTCTCTTGAATGCATAATATAAAGCAAGTTGTTTTATGGGAGAGTATATATATTTTTGGGCACTGAACAACACTTCTAAAGCACTATTTTTATGCACTGGCAAAATCTCTTATTTCTCTAACAGATCAGAGATAACAAGGTATTCAATCTAACAACTGAAACCAGTGCCTAGCATAATTATATCTGGTTGTATGCCACAAGAAAAAATTCTACTCTAAAAGATTTTTGGCTCTTCTCTGAAAGGTCAAGCTTTTCTTTAAAAAGTATGATCTCCAAGAGGTGTTCTCCAAAAGGTTATAAATACAATTTTCAAAAATATACGACTCATACACATAACCTAAAAGTAATTTTATACATAATACTTAAATACTGCATTTCCTCGATTCTAAGATGCTTTCCCCCATATCAAAATCTCTAAAAACAGGGTGCGTCTTAGAATCACGGTTGCTTTTTAAAATATATAAACTTTTTTTCCTGTTCGTGGTACTGAAATTAGTGTTTTACAATCAATCGTGTCTTACAATGAAATACAATAAAACTCTGCCCCAGTACAACTTGGGCTGTACATTCCTGATACAGCTCCCCTCCCCCAACTCCTGTGTATCCCTCCCATGGAACTGCACTAAACACATGATTAAAAGAGGGAATGAACTGAATGACACTGGCCTACCAAAATAATTGATTTTTACCACTGGAAGGAAATACATCCTAATAAAAGGATGAAGTATTGATAAAGTTGAAGACTACATGACCTTTACAAGTCTATATGGCACTACCATGCAGAATGCTTTGCCTTTAGGGATAAATCTTAATTCCTACAGCTCCTTCTATTGATGGGGAAATGATGGCAGCAAGCATGCCATCAGGGATCAGATCATGGAAAGGAATTCAAAGTGGGAATTAATTTTAAAAGGAGAGTGAAAAATGGAGTTTGAATGAAATACCATGCAAAATGCAAACATACACAGGCAGCAAACATATCCAAGAAGAAATGTGTGTGCGTCATTTGAATAAAGGAAAAACTGAACTTGTAGATACGCAAGCTAGAATATCAAGGAAAAGGTAGTCATTAAATATATAATATTTAAATAATTAGGGCTACATTCATCAATCAACAATATTTTCTTAGGTTAAAAACAGTCCCTAGTTGGACAAAATATTTAAAATGTTACTTTTAATATTCCATGCTTTGAAGAATCTTAAATTACACTAACACAATGAAGGATATCTCCTTCTGAAATGACACCTGGTGTGATGTGTGGTAATCAATACATTTTTCCCTTCAGTATTGACTTGTTCACATAGCATGTTCCGCCAATTAAGTCACTGATTAATCATCTTAATAGGGCAATCAATCTGTTATGAATACTCATCTTACTATGTTGTTAGTGTTTCAACTTAAATCTTTACATAAGCTTGCAGTTTTGTTTTAACAGTATTTATTGTAATGTTCAATAGTTTTATTATTTGACTAGTCTTTAAGCTTAGTGAAATGATATTAGCTGCTCTGAGCACTACTTTTAGTGGAAGAGTGACATATAAATATATAGCAATAGCATAACAATTATACATACAAGTCCTATTTACTTGAGTCTAATGGCGCTCCATGCAGTCATGCCGGCCACATGACCTTGGAGGTGTCTACGGACAACGCTGGCTCTTCGGCTTAGAAATGGAGATGAGCACCACACCCCAGAGTCAGACATGACTGGACTTAATGTCAGGGGACTACCTTTACCTTTACCTTTTTAATGCATTTAACTGCCAGAATAAAGATGTGCATTAGATTTGGTGGCACATTAGAATTGCACACATAATCCTACTTGTGTGAAAAGGCCAAAACCCAACCCAGAACCCCAGAGGCTGGCAGCGTGGGGGGAGGGGGGATGTGGTGCCCAGAGAAAAAGGAGAGAGCATCTGGCTGGTGACCCTATCATTCCTGCGCATAGCCATGGATCCTGTCTCCTGTGTGGCCCTCCGGGTCTCTCACTCGCCTTCCCAGGTTCAGTCTCTTGCGGTTTCCATCTGGCCTCATTCATAAGGCTTTCAACCCCCCCAGCTTTTTAAGGCCTCATGAATGAGGCCAGCTGGGAACTGTGCAAGGCTGGTGAGTTTGTTAGCCTCAGCTTGATGGAAGGGTGTGACTTTCCCAATGACTTCATTCATGCTGCCTGCCTCCTTCACATGTTATGACTGCACTGTTGGGCGCATTACATTCGAGGGCAAATCCACTTTTTGTATCGTGCACCTTCAAAAGTGAGGTGCACATTACATTCGATGGTGCATTATACTTAAGTAAACATGGTATCAACGTGAATGCTTCATAACAGAACTCCTGAACCTTTAATATTTTGGTAGAAAAGTTCAGTAAATCAGCCCCTTTATATTATAGAGGTAAAATATGTACCGTATATACTCAGCTATGGGTAAATTTCAAAATGAAAATAGATACCAATAAAATTACATTAATTGAGACATCAGGTGGTTAAATGTTTTTGAATATTTACATAAAACTGAAATTTAAGATACTCTGATTGAACCATTATTCTAAGCTTCTTCGATGTAAATGTGCTTAAGTATCCTTCCAATTATTTATTTTATTTATTTACAACATTTGTATCCCGGCCATATCAGCCTGAAGGCAACTCATAATAATAATATTAAAGAGAGGAAAATCATAAATGTTATAAAAATAATAATAATAGAGTAAAATAAGGGAAACATAATAATAACAGTAATAATAGAGTAAAATAATAAATGTAATAATTAGAGTAAAATGATAAATGTAATAATAATAATAAATAGAGTAAAATAATAAATGTAAAATAATAATAGCAATAACAAAGTAAAATAATAAATAACCTTGACTCGAGTATAAGCCGAGGCGGACTTTTTCAGCCTACAAAAAGGGATGAAAAACTAGGCGTATACTTGAGTATATACAGGTATCTATTTTTTTCATCTACAAACAGTTATAAGAGATGTCCTTCTTGATTATTGCCAGATCGCTGTATTTGCTACTGTCTCCACTTGTGCCCTTTACACAACCAAAATATGTTCTTTCTGGGAATTTGTAGGTTCTCCAGAGATATTCTACGGCCAACTTTTTGCAGATGTTGAACACAGGATCGTGTAGAGGACCTACAAATGCCAAAGAAGTGTTCTTTCAGGAACAACATTTTTTGAGTGGTTTCCTATGCTGCTAAATGCAAACTTTCAGAAATACCATACCATTGGTTGAGCTGCTTGATCCATTAACTTCAGTGCAAGATTCTGTGCTTGTTCTCGAACCTGGTCTTTGGCATCTCCCATTCGATCTACCAACACTATAACAACTAGGGGAAGATAATGCAAACGTTATGTAGCTCTCTGTAAAATTATATCTCAAATGATCTAAACATACTTATATAGCTTCTGTACTTTAAAGGAAAGGAAATAAATTTGTCAGATGAAGAAAAGATGTCTATATTAAGGCAATTAGATGAAAATAAACTTATAAAGCATGCAAATTTGAGTGTTCCAGACTAGGCAATTTTACAGATACTTTCCTCTTACTTTCATAGTCCAAAGTCATATATTTACTCAGAAGAACCAGAGTTATAAAATACTGCTTAGTTCTATTCTCTGCCACTATCACCCCTAAAATAATTTGTTTATAAGTAATCCAGAAGATATAAGCATTCTGCTGTCCTGGAGACTAGGACGCGGAGCAATGACTTCAAACTACAGGAAAGGAGATTCCACCTGAACATTAGGAAGAATTTTCTGACTGTGAGAGCTGTTCAGCAGTGAAACTCTCTCTCTGCCCTGGAGTGTGGTGGAGGCTCCTTCTATGGAGGCTTTTAAGCAGAGGCTGGTTGGCCATCTGTTGGGGGTGCTTTGAATGCAATTGTCCTGCTTCTTGGCAGGAGGTTGGACTAGATGGCCCACGAGGTCTCTTCCAACTCTATAATTCTATGATTTCTGAATTCTCCCCACTACATGTTAAAAAACCTTTAGAGAGGCACATCAAAGTACAGCCATCTCAGAACCAGAAGCAGACACATGAAATGCTACACTTAGGTTAGATGTTTACTTATGCCATTTACTAAGAAAGCAATGCTACAAATAATAACTAAATCTGCATTATATGAAATATTTCTTTTGGACTTATATTTTACAATTTGATTATTATAGTAACACCTTCAGTCAGAGGTGGAACTGTGCTGCTATAGATTTGGTTAGGATGCAATTCCTAGCAAACCTTGCCAACATAACCAGTATTTAAGAATGGAAGAAGACACAGTCCAACATAGGGAGGTCTGACTTAATCTCTTATCCAGTTTACATTACCATGTCACTTAGTTCTTTTCTTAACAGTTGAGTACTTAATTATTTCCTACATTTCTACAAAACTGATTAATGCACATTTTTTATTTGTTGGGTAATCACAATCAGACCACCTTAAACACACCCAGTCTGATCTGATTTTGGAAGCCAAGCAGAGCCAGACCTTATTAATACCTGGACTGGAAAACAGCAGGGAATAACAAGGATCTTCAAGTAGTAGAAGGAAAGAATCCTGGCTGACATTCTAGGGAGTTACTGCCAATCAAAGATAATTGTACAGGGCAAACACACCAATAGTATGACTCAATGTAAGGCAGCTTCCTAATCAGCTGAAACTATTCAGAAACGAAGCTACCTTTTAAGAGGTCTCATGTCGTGAAATATGGTAGTGCTATAGCAGAGACCCAAATCATACATTTCATGATAATCCCAGCAATTCCTGTAATGCATTTAAAATACAGGTAAGAAATATGTGCTGCCTCCGCAAAGCTGGTGGACTAAAGTCCCATCAATGGTTAGGAATGCAAAAGTGTAATTAAGCAATATCTGAAGGGCACATGGTGTCTGCCGCTGATGAAAAATATAGCTTTGATTAATATATTCAAGAAATGTCTTTGGGGCAAATTTAGAAATTTCACAAAAATGTGCTTGTTAAGAAAACACATATATAAAAATATACACCAACAATGAGAACCGACTTGTAAGAAAAATCAATGTCATCAACAAAGCATCTAAAAACTCATTCTCACACAAGCATAACAGATCTCGTCCTTTTGAAAAGTTTAATCCTAGAATAATGAACCTAAATGGCATTTAATGTCATAAGTGATCTTACATGACCAAAGGCATGCTGTGATTTGATCTGAATAACTTTGGCATCTGAAAACACTAATTGGGTGTTTTTACTCAACATCTCCAAATTAAAAACTAGATGAGCAGATACACACACACATTATTGGAATGTAAGAAATTCTCTGGATACTTAAATCCTGGCATAAATGGATTCTTCCTAGTCAGCTAAATCTTTCTCCCACCCCCTTCACCACACATCCTTCTCTCACACACACACACACCAAGTCCTCTTTGCTGAAGTTCCCCAGCACTAGTGAGTGAGCCAAAAGGCCTTTATTTCTATACCTACCGCCACGCATTTTCCACCCCATCCAGGCACTGCATTCTTTCAATACATCTTGCCAGCGGTAGAGTAAAATGAGGAGTGCTTTTAGTATACGATCTTTGAGAAGGAAAGTGGGCAAGCAGGTGACTGGGCTTCTATCACTGTGGTGAAGGTAGATGGGGTTTTGTGTGTTGCATTTAACCCTGCTTTTTCCCATGAATACCTTTCCTCCCTACCTGTTCTTTTAGAGTACAGACAGTATCTAGGTCTTCTGGTCTACCACCTATTTCCTGTCCTCCCAAAAACAAAGCTCCAGAAGGCTATGTCCTGCCTTCTCTTCCACCAATTTGGACTACATAGACACAACAGCTATGAATACGGTGGATTGTATTAATAGGTGGCAATGTACAGTATTAATAAACACCAGATTTGGCATCCCAGGCTCCCAAAAGAAGGTATATATTTGGCTGGAGTTACACTTAAAAATGTACCTGTTCCGACTTATTTAGAAATTTAATTTAAGAGCAAACCTACAGAACCTATCTTGTTTTCAACTTGGGGACTCCCTGTAATTGACTAGACTAGATCCTTGTTACCCACTGGGATTTGGTCCCAGGACCTCTCCTTCCTACACATGAATACTAAAGTCATTGGATGTTAAAATCCCATTATATATAGTGTCCATTATATAAAATAGCAATTTTAATTGCATAATCAATGGATGCAGACTTGGTGGAAACAGCGGGTTGACTTTATGTTTAAACTAAAGCTATTCTAAGGAATTAACAACTGTAGTCAAATTCACTCATTTTCAATTGTTTCCAAGAAGTTTAAAAACCACTCACCAGTTGATAAATAGGATTTGAAGCGTCCCAACAGTCTGTCCACAAAGGCACCTAGAAGATCAATTCCAAGCAATGATACCTGTAGAAATGATTAAAATGTTTTAAAAAGCAAAAACCAGTCATACACCTTTGTAGCCTTTAAGAATTATAAACTTGAGTTTTTAAAAAACTGTGTAGCTGGGGTTACATGGCTTATAGACAAATTTTGTAATGTGTTTGGGAACCTTACACTGCAAAATTCAAAGATTATCTTTGGTTTCTAACTTGATGTGTACAGCACAGCTGAATTATACTTAACTACTGTCTAGTAACAAAAGGCAGTTCTTGTTTTCTTTGAAATAGGATGACACCATAGCTATCACAGCCCAGTCTCTGAAGATATTCTATTCATTTTTGTTTACAGCTTTTTACTTGCAACTAGAACTCAATCCAAGTATTTCTTTAACCAAAAACAAAAAAGGGAGTGAAAGTAGAGTTAAGGAAAGAAGTCCTATTAAAAAGCATTAGATTACATCATTTTACCATTTTTAGTTTTGAGTGTAAATAAAACAATGACCCAGCTTTCAAAGTACCAAACTTCTCCCCAGAAATTTAGGCCCAGTAGAATGTTATTTCACAGTTTCCACTGCTTTCCTTAAACTAATCCAGAACAATGAAATCTTTAGTACAGGTCTGCCATCAGTAGAACATTTAGAGAAACCATGAAATAACAGTGTGTAACAATATATTCACATCAAGAAGCCTTTACTACCATAAGAAGGAGTTATTGGGATGGGGGATGAAGGAATCTGACAGCGCTTCAATAACAACTGATTTATTTCAACATGAGCTTGCACTAGTGTCAATCCATTTCCTCAGATGCACTGATAGTACAATATTAAAGCCATATACAGTACTGCATTCCATCAGTGACTTTCAGGGAATAGACTGAAATCTGCAAAAACACATGCTAAAATAAATCTGTTAGTGTTGGAGGTGCTGCTAGGTGCCTTCTCTCTCCCCCTTTCACTTTTATGCTGGAGCATGGCTAACTATTTGGAAACAACCAATAAGGCAAACTAAAAGGATTCAACTAATTGCAACTTTGTTTTAAAGCAAGCAGGAATTAAGAAAACCCTCAGATGTTGGACTGTAACTCGCAATGTACCTCATTATTGGCCAGGACGGCAAGGAGTTTTAGTCCAGCAGCATCTGGTAGGCTACTTAACACTTTGTTGTTGTAGATATGTGCCTTTATGTCGGTATACCTATTCACAGATTCCCTAAGGCTAAGAGCATGTGACTTGTACGAGTAACCAGGTGGGTTTTCATTACAGTCTAAATACAATCACTAGTAATCCCCCTTCTGGCACCAACGGCTGCTCTGGCCAGAGAGAAGACAGAGGGGAGCAGAAGACATTTCCATCTTGTCTTTACTAATAATATAATATAGTATATTGTATATACGTATAATATTTATAATATTATAATGTAATACAATATAATACTAGTAATAATAATTCAATATTATAATTATAATTATATATTTAATTACATGTAATATTACTAATAATATTACAATATAATGGTATAGTGCAATATAGTAATATATACTGATATTGTACTTTGCTAATAATATAATATATTGTATAAAAATATATATTGTAAGCCGCTCTGAGTCCCCTTCGGGGTGAGAAGGGCGGCATATAAGCGCCGTAAATAAATAAATAAATAGTCTCAGCTAGATCAGGCCTACAGATTCAATGACAATGTGATAGGTCAACACTTCAGAAACTGCCACCATATCAATGGTTCTATTTTAATTAAACCTGAAATAGGATAGAGTCTTTGACAGCAATAATTCCAAGTGTGTATCACAGATAGATTGAGTATTTGAAAATATTCAAAAGACAGAAAAGCCAAGTTTTTGGAGCATCAAGAAAGTCTAACCAGAAGACTTCTAAACTGACAAAGAATATTTGCAGTTTAGGACACATTATGCACAGCATTTGCATTTGGTTGTTTTGTGCAAGAAACAGTATTTTCTGTATGTAAAACAATATTCCTGTACCAAAGTAAATGCTTTTTTCTGTAGAAAAACAAGCACACACATTTTGCTCAGAATAATGCCCAGATTGTAAATGGGTGTTGAAACAGCATTGTTTTGAAATATTTTCTTATAGCAGGAATAAAATTATTCACATTTCTCACTGCTCCCATCAAGAAGAAAATTAGTGAAAATAATACATTTATGAAGTGTACTAATGCTCAGAAATGTACAGATAATGTATTTTGAATATCTATGTTTAGAACTATATATCCAATTTTACAAAAACTACACACAAGCATCCATGAAGTACACTGCACTGAAATTGCAGTGCAAGAGGATCAGTGACTGCACAAAAAAGTGCACTGGTAGGAGTGATTGCCCTTTCCAATTTCAGCCCTTCATTCTGGACTAAATCCTCTGGTGTTCCCATTCAGCTTTTAAAGAGACATTAGAGGGAACTACAATGCATTCACTAAATTTCACAAATATCTTCTGAATCCCAGCTACCAATAGTACTATTCTGCAAGTTCTGATGAGTGCATGTAGAATAATTACACACATAATTAGAATACAGTATTTTGTATTTCAGAACTTTCTAGATTTAAAAACACTTATATTTGCATATGTGTACATAATGTGTACATAAAAGGATTATCTGGGAGATGGGTTGCCAAATCCAAAAACAAATTTCATTTGTTTCATATACACATTATACACGTAGCATGAAGATAATTTTATACAATATCTTAAATAATATTGTGCATGAAACAGTGTATACATTCAACCATAAGAAAACAAAGGTGTTATTATCCCAACCACATAGACAATTTCCCATTTTAGAGTACAGCATTTTGGGATTCTTGATAAGGGATGCTCAACCTTTATGGACAACCAAAATGAGCAAATAAAGCATGCAAGTTTTCAAAGCTCCACGGGATTCTTTATCAGACAAACAAGGTTAACAGAAATAATATAGGGGAACAAAAGGGACAGTGTTAAAGTCAGCAGGCCTGTAACTCTAACATAATCACTTCTCTTTCCTATATGGTTTAAACCAGTGGTTCTCAACCTGTAGGTCTCCAGATGTTTTGGCCTTCAACTCCCAGAAATCCTAACAACTGGTAAACTGACTGGGATTTCTGGGAGTTGTAGGCCAAAAACACCTGGGGAACCACAGGTTGAGAACACTGGTTTAAAACATCTTTTGCCTGATGAATATTTGTTAAATATAGGGAGGTATATGTTTGCTAAGAAAATGTGATCAGTTCCCCTTAAGATGGAAATAACTTGAAGACACATAACAACAAATATGCTATTATTTAACATTACATATTACACATACTTCAATAAAATAATTTGCATATTGTAAAAAGCCTTGAATCTATTTATAATTGAAACATTTCAATTTTTTAAATCCAGTTCTGCTTTTTTTGGAAAACTTACATTTCTGATTTTGACTACAAATAGATATTAGCAAATATAAATTAGTATTAAACATATGTAAAATTATAAATGGAACTGTCAAGTTATAAGAAACTATTTTTTTGCTCATCTGATTTCCAAAAACAAGTTGCCCTTTGAAATTTCATTATTATGAACTCAGACTCCATGTTCCCAAAATAAATAAATAAATAAATAAATAAAGCATCTAAAAGATTCCTAAACTCAATTTAATAAATATTTTTGACTAAAGAATATTGTGAGTTGGTTACCAGTGAATGAAAGCTACAAATAACAAGTATGACAAGCAAGCAGTTTAGCACCACACATGTGAAACCAAGGTATGGCTTTTGTCTTAGCTGTTCACAACATAAGTGAAAATATGAGAAATAAAAGCTAGACAGAATATTCTCTGTACTGACATAAAATTTACTAAGCTCTCCAAAAGAAAAATGGAAAGAAAACTGTGAAGTTGTCATTTAAGAGGAACTTCTTGTTTTTACTTTATTTGGCCTGAAGATGGGACAGCCCAGGAAGCTATTGAAAATATGAACTATATTAGTCTCTATGTACAGCAGTATACATTAAGACCAAAACTGTTTGTTCATCTTTGTATCACAAGATTAAAAAAATAACTATATCAAAGATGTAACACAATCCAGATACATACTAGGTCTATAACTTACATCTCATTTATGCAGGATCATCTAAAAATATGGCACTTTACAAAAGGTATGATAACATGCATACAGTACAGGAAAGTACAGTATGAGTAAGCAGCAATGAAATATGTGGTTCAATTCCAATTAAGCTTATTTTTGTTTGATTACATTAAGATATCAGACGCAGCAATAGAGTACCCATATATCTTAATGAAATGTAATGGGGCCCCATGAAGGGATCCAACAGAATGACAAAATCCTGACCATTCAACAGCTATTCTACAAGCCTTCTGTTTCACTACCTTGATGACTGTCTCTTTTTTTAAAAAGGGGGTTAGGATTGCTGTCTCCCACTAAGTCTGTAGGACTGCCAAAGTTACCCACTTCTGAAATATAGGGGCTATATTGGCACATGAAATCAGTCCAAGGAGAAATGGCAGCAAACCAAGATGAATAGTGTTATTTTGGGGAGCAATATTCAACTGAGGGAGATAGAGCTCAACAAATAAGAAAGAATTAAAAAGTTGTCAAGTAACCAAGCATAGAGAGGAAAAAGAGGTGCAAGGTTACAGAGCTTTAAAAGCAAGGAGGCGCCTGCACAGAATCAAAGAGCAAAAAAGAAGTCAGTGAATGGTTACAAAGAGTCATAAAGATGACAAAAGTGAATTATTTTTTGTACCTGTATGCTAGACTGATATAAGTGGTCAGAAATATAACAATAACAGTCATGGTAATTTCAGGTGGAGAGCTACTGCATCATTGATTAAAAAACATAATGGAATTATGTAATTCATTCTTCTTCAGTTTATTTTCTGCTAAAACAGCTGAAAGTATGAAAAACAAAGAGGAATAATAAATAAGGCAACATGTGGACACTGTGCAAAATCTTGGGAACAAGAGTACCAGTATAACAAATGTTTCAACTTGATATAGGGTGGGGTGAGGTGG